CAATACTCTTCTCCAGCACCACAGCTCAAAGGCATCAACTCTCCTTCTGTCCTCCCTAGTCATTGTCCAACACTCTGATGCATAACAAGTAATTGCAAAAACCATGGCCTGTATCAGGCGCACCTTAGTCTCCAGAGAGACACCGTTGCTCTTGAGTACTTTAGAGAGATCCCTAACCGCAGACTTTCCCATCGCAATACGTTTTTTTATTTCCTGGCTACTGGTGCCAAGAGTGTTGACCGTGGAGCCGAGCAAACTGAAGCTGTGAACAAAAAAAGTGCCAAACAGTTTACACCCCACTTTCAACTGAAACAAGAGAACCTACCCACCAGAATCTTCACACAAAAGGCTCTATAAAATACTTCTAAGTTGTCATCACGTCAGGTTCAACTCAAAGCACCAGAAATAAGTTGCCTGAGCCTGTCCCATCCACCCGATGTCCACAGTGTGTAAGGCCGCTGTCAGTCACTGTCATTCATCTTGCTGAAGATCATCTTCTCTGCTGACCTCCACCCTTCCAAGCATGATCTCCTTTTTCCAAGGACTTCTGCTACTAGGACAGCTTTTTTCCTGTAACTTACCATTATGCACATTAAGTTGTTTTCTAAGGAATTCATGTTCTTCCTGAATCTAAAGAGTTATCTTTCCTCAATTCCAGAAAACTGTTGATCCTTCTCATATTTTCTAGACTCTCAAAACTTGTTGGTTATTAAAGTAAAAAAAAGTATCCCTTAAGACCTTTGAAATAGGTTTTTCTATCAATAAAACAAAGTCTTAGCTCTTTCAAAACAAAAGAACTCACTGCTACCGTGTCAGTTCACAGTGACCCTTCCTCAGGTTTCCAAGGCTGTAATCACAATGGAAGGAAGTTGTTTGCTTCCACAGAGCTTCTGTTGAAGTCAAACCTCAAAAGATGAGCAGCCTTTGAGTTAGCAGTGCAATTTACTATGGACTCACTATCGGGCCAGAGTCCTTTCAAAAGGGTGCCTTTTCAAAAGTAGAATGCAAAACAGACAACTCTTGGAGCTATCATTTAATTACTTGGAACCAGACATCTTAGAAAGGAAAATGATTCCCGAAATTTGTATTTTTGGAAGTCAATAAATTCAATTTTGGTTTCTAGGCTTTATTTTTCTTCCTTAAATTAGTTGTGATTGGATTTCTGACAACTGCAACCAAGAATCGTGATTAACATAAGTACCTACTATCCAGGTGGTACTATGTACTATATGATAGATAATCGGTAAAGTTCATGTCCTCAATAGTCAAAATTATTCATATTCATTTTAAGCCATCTTCATTTCTTTGTTCATGCTTTTTGTCTTTCCCACTCCAACTTGGAATACATGTTTGTACATTGATTTTATATGTGTGTTGTTATGTGCCATCAAATTGCCTGTGACTCGTAGCGACAACAGCTCTAAAGTCAGCCCTGTTCTGAGCCATGAGCCAGTCTCACTAACTTCGACACACCTACCCCCATTGCCCTAGTTACTGTATCAATCCATCTCATCTGGAGTCTTCCTCTCCTGCGCTGTCCCTCCACCCTCCCGAGCATGATGTCCTTCTCCAAGGATCAGTCCCTCCTGGCCACACCCTCCTGAGCATGATATCCTTCTCCAAGAATCAGTCCCTCCTGGCCATATGCCTAAAGTATGTGAGATGGAGCTTCAAAATCCTAGCCTCCAAGAAAGATTTGGTTTCACCCTCTCCAAGAAAGGCCTGTTTGTTTACTGGGCAGTCCATGATATGTATGTTCAAGACACTTCTCCAGCAAAGGCCTTACTTAATTCTTCTTCTCTTATCCTCAGTCATTGCATCAGTTCTCTGATGCACAGCAAGTAAGTGCCAAAGACCATGGCCTGGATCAGGCACACCTTTGTCACTAGACTGACATTGTTGCTTCTCAGTACTCTCTACAGGTCCCTGACTGCAGATTTACCTAATGAAATGTGTCTTTTGATTTCCTGACTGCTGGAGCCAAGAGTGTTGATTGCAGAGCCAAGCAGCTGTAACTGTTAACAACCTCAATCTCTTCTCCATCCATCATGGTGCTGCCAATTGGCTCAGTGGGTGAGAATCTTTGTCTTCTTGATGTTGAGCTTCAATCTATATTGAAGACTACATTCCTTGATCCTCTGCAGTAAGAGCTTTTGGTCCTCCTCAGTTTCAGCAAGCAAGGTTGTGTCATGTGCATATCATGGGTTGTTGATGAGTCTTCCTCCAGTCCTGATGCCACATTCCTCCTCATAAAGCCTAGCCTCCGGAATGATCTGTTCTGCAAATAGATTGAAAAGGTATGGAAAAAGGACACATCCTTGATGCACTCCCTTCTTGATTTAAACCACACATTGTTTCCCTGCTTTGTTCTGAGGATTGCTTCCTTGTCCAAGTATAGGTTTCTCATAAGCACAATCAAGTGTTCTGGGATTCTTATTTTTCTTAAGACTAACCACAATTTGTTTTGATCCAGTCAAATGCCTTTACACAGCCAATGAAACCGTTATCTCTCTGGTACTCTCTGCTTTCTGCCAACATCCATTTGACATTGGTGATAATGTCTGCAGTGCCACGACCTCTACTAAACCCAGCTTGTAGTTCTGGTAGTTCTCTGTCAATGGACTCTTCCTGTCATTTCTGGATAATCTTCAGCAGGATTTTGCTTGCATATGATATGAGTGATATTGTATGATAATTTCCACACTCTGTCGAGTCACCTTTTTTTGTAATAGGAATACATATGGATCTATTCCAGTCAGTTGGCTAGGTAGTTGCCCTCCAATTTCTTGGCACAACCTGGTGAGCACGTCCAGAACAGCATCTGTTTGTTGAAATATGTCAATTGGTATTCCATCAATTCCTGGGGCTTTATTGTTTGCCAAGTCCTTCAGGGTAGCCTGAACGTCTTCATCATCATTGCTTCTTGATCATATGTTGTTTCTTTAAATTCTTCTGTGTCAGCCAATTCTATTTGGTACAGTGACTGTATATTCCTTCCATCTTCTTTTTATACTTCCTGGGTGGTTCAAAATTCTGCCCATAGTATCCTTAACTATGGCAACTCAAGGCTTGGATTTGTTCTTTAGTTCCTTTAGCTTAAGAAATGCCTAGAAAGTTTGCCTCTACTCCTCCCCCCTTTCTTTTATACTGGCTTATTTACAAAGTTTGAATACATTGTTTTTCACACTGGATCTTTCTGATTGCCTTCACCTCCCCCACCATCAAATTGTACTACCCTATGATTGACACACAGACCCTCCCTGCTCATTCTTACCTTCTGCTTCTACCCTCCCACTCTTGGATCCTAATACTCATATTACAATAATGGTTTTATATAATATTTGCCTTATAGGACTGAGTTGGTTCACTCAGCAAAATGCTCTCTAATCCCTCTCAAATTAACTAGTCATTTACAACATTGCTCCTGTGTGCTGCATAGTATTCCATTGTGTTAATGTACTATAATTTCTCAATCCATTTGGTTGTGGTTGAACATTTGGACTGTTACCATGTTCTTGGTGAATAATAACTCTGGCCCTTTAGATTTTTGGACTCCAGTTCTTTGCACATTTCACTATACTTTGCTTTGTCCTCCCTTGCTGCCCTTTGAAATCTACTCAGCTCCTTAACTTCTTTATTTCTTCCCTTTGCTTTGTTGTGTACCGCGTCCAATCAAACTGACCCATGATTGACCTCTGGCAGGAGCTTGCCCATTCTCCTCCGAAGGAGCAGTTAGTGAGTCTACCTGCGGGGATTGGAGATTGTAGTACAGAATCCTACCACTAGGTTACAAAAAACGACAAACAAAACGTTTCCACCTGGTCTGGGATTTTTTGAGTTGGACAAACGTGGTAACTACTACTGATAAGGGAGAAAATTACCCACCTTTCTCCCACAGAGCAGCTGGTGGATTTGAAGTGTGTGCCTTCAGGATTGCACGCAGCTTCTTACCCCTAGGTCACCAGAGAGAGCTACACACACACACACACAAACTTTTGTGATTTGGGTGAACGTTTACAGAACAAATTAGTTTTCCAGTAAATTCAAACACATTTTGGTTAATGACCTTGATTTCAGCCTCCACAATGCAAAAGAGCTCATCACATAACTTCTCAGTGTTTCCTGTTGTGGTTCCCCCACCCCCCTTCCTTCAAATAGCTTCCTATCTTCTGAACTTTGGCCAAAAGCAGCCCTTTGGATCTCATATGGTTGATTCATTTAAGAATGCATAATTCCTTGTGTCATTAACCTTATAGGTCTTTTATTCTTTGACTTTGAAAACTGAGCCATAGAAGATGAGCTTAGTTTATAGACACAGGTTAAATCCACAAGAGGGACAAAGTACAGTTCTTCAAGCAACAAAACATTTTTTTAAAAAATATATTTGCAAATCTCAGCTGGGCCGTATTATCCTCCTTTATGTCTTGGGTGTTTGGTTTTTCATTTCTTCTTATCGAAAGTTCTCTGTATCTGTCTTCTGTCACCTCAAATACAAATGGCCTAAGATTAATGCGAATGAAGGCGAGCTGAAATAAAATGACGAAATCAAAACATCAATAATGGCTCAGGGGGAAAAAAAAAGAGGGAAGAGGGGGACGCTGGTCCCGGTACATCTCCCCACCCTTTGCCTTAATCTGCAGTTTCTCCCGCGATATCCTGGGTCCACTGCCCGTAGTGGACTTTGTAATTGAAAAACATAGGGAGCAGTTGTTGTCTTGGCCCAACAACCAATGAGTGAGTGAGTCCGGGACCTGCCTCCGGCCTCCAAAGCCAGAGCAAAGGAATGCTGCCAGTCCCGCCTCCGAGTCCTGGGACTTTCAGTGAACTCCCCACCTCCACCAGGCGGCCGGCGACGCCTCCAAGGGGCGAGGTTTCCGCTTCCGGCGGCTGATTGTTGACGCTTGCGGCTGCTGCGGTGGCTACGGCGACGTTGGGGCGGGGCCATTGGGGGTGGGAGCCTGCGCAGTGACAGGTCCTGCGGAGGGGGCTGCTGAGCGACGATGGCCGAGGGGCCGGAGGAAGTCCGTGGCCGTCCTCCGGGGCAAGACGACGGCAGGGGGGACCACGAGCCCGGCCCTTCTTTGAAAAGCCCTCCTTCCGTCGACGCCGCCGCCCCTCCACACCCCCGTGCCGGGCCGCAGACCGAACCCCAGGCCCCCGGCAAGCCGCCAACCCCGGAGCTCGCGCCGGCTGCGTCCGCTGTCGAGGAATCGGGGGCGCCCCGCGAGCTCGGGGAGCGCGAGGAGGCCGACTCCGGGTCCGATGCGGGGCTAGAGGAGCCGGCCGGCCGCGATGCGCCCGGGGCCGCGACTCCGCTGGAGAAGCCCGCGCGGCTGAGCGCCCGCGAGTACTCCCGGCAGGTGCACGAGTGGCTGTGGCAGTCCTACTGCGGCTACCTCACCTGGCACAACGGCCTGGCCGCCTTCCCCGCCTACTGCTGCCCCCAGGTCCCCGCGCCCACCCTCCCGGCGGCCGGCGCCGCCCCCCAGGCCGCGGCGCCAGCGCCCCAACTGGCCTATTACAATCCTTTTTATTTTTTGAGCGCCGCTACCGCCGGCCCGGAGTCAGGGACCGCCGCGGGGGTCGCCGCTCCCGCTCCAGTCTCTGGCCTGGGACCCCGAGCCCCTCAGGCGCAGGGGTCCGGCCGGAGCGCCCCGGGCACGAGGGCTGGGCCTGCTGCCGCTTCACGAACCCCCAGCGAGCCTGGGCGGCAGGCAGGTGAGCGCGAGCGTCGAGTGGGGAGGAGAAGGGGCTTCTGGAAGGCTCACTTCTCCCATCGCAAACTGCTGGTGCTCGCGTTGATGTCTCAGAGCACATCAGCTCACATTTGTTGAGGCCTTTCCCACAGCTTGCAGCGAGGCACTGCGGTTTCCTCCTGTAGACCTGGAACTCCAAATTGATTTCTTTCCCTAAATGATAGGTCGTTCTCATGTACTGAGGACGGCTTGGCTACTTCATCTCCTGAAATCATGCTGGGGGGGAACCCCGCCCGGGAACCCCGCCCCCTCGCCGATAGTATCCTTTTTTCTTTATTCCACTTCAGATCTAAACACATGGCGATCCAGAGATTAAATCCCACATACGAACCCAGTGTGGGTAGGGCTTGATTGGCCATGCACATGATTTGTACATAATGCAGATTTGGGTTTAGGACATTGTGTCTGAACTGGATGTAAAATGAGATTTACATGAAAACATTTGGAGTTAGGTCCGGATTTAATCTTCTGTACTTTTTTACTGTTTGTTTTACATGACTGTTAGAGTACTTTGTTATAGAATCTTTTCTTTTATTCAGTCACAGATATGGGATATATGGGACAGGAACTTGCTAAGCCAGAATCTGTATCCTAGTCAGCATTTAGAATGACAGGTTGATGATAATTACTGGATTAATAAAAACAAAACAAACTAAAGGAATAGAATAATGAGGAACACGGATTTACTTTATACTAATTGTCTAATCTTGCTGTTTTTTTACAAAAATGTTTAATTTTGTGTCATAGACTTGGGGTCAGCTGAATTCTCATTTATAAAATGAATTTTATACCCCCTGGTTAAAAAAGTATCGGTAAAATAACTTTTTAAGCAGTAGTAAACTTTAAACGGCTTAGTAAATAGTGGAGTAGTGCTGCTATATGTTAGTAATAAATGCTTTTGGTAGGATTAAGTTGTAGAGTTGTAAGGGTTTCTTTGTTGTTAAAATTGGTTACCTTGAGTTTATTTCCCCTTTGTTTCCTAACTTGTTTTTTTTTTTAGGACTGTGAAAATAGTTTTACTAACTTTTTAATTGATTTTTTAATTACAGGGAGAGAATATGTTATTCCATCCTTGGCCCACAGATTTATGGCAGAGATGGTGGATTTCTTTATTCTCTTTTTCATAAAAGCAACCATTGTCTTAAGTATTATGCATCTCAGTGGAATCAAGTAAGTTAAGAACATTTGCAGAAGGATTTTCTTTTTTTAATCATTGTTGCACATTTTCTTTCCCCAGCCCATCCTGCAGTGCATCCCTTGTTCCAGATTGTTCTCATACATATGAGGTCTAATCATGTACTCCTTTCAGTTCTTCCCCTCATCTTTTCTTCTGCAGTGTTATCCACTCTTCCCATTCTCTCCCCATGCAGAAAGATTTTAATGTGTACTGTGTAGAGAGCTTGTTTTCCTGAGCTTGTGCTTGCAGGTGGCTGTGTGACATTGTCACATGGTGTGCCGTTGCCATGGTTTGTCAGATTTACTTCTTGCTGTTTTTAAGAAACATCTACAAAAGGGAAAACAGTGAATTTTGAGATCTGTGAAAAAGATCATCTACTTAAAGTTGGTAAAAGGTTCCTTCACACCTAGCTTGGGTTAACATTATTCAGTTAGGTCAGAAACTAATTTTCCTCTGACTGTAATGTTCAGTGAGTAGCTCTGGATGTGCTGTTTTTAAGACATTCAACCAAGGGAGCTCTGGTGACCTAGTGGCAAGACGTTGCACTGCAATTCCAGAGGTACGCAGTTCAAATCCACCAGATGCTCTGCTGGAGAAGGAGGGGGCAATCTCCTCCTGTAAATCAGTCAGATCTGATTTGACGGTACACGTAAAAAATAATACTATTTAAAAAAAAAAAGACATTCAACCACTGATAAAAGGTCACTGGTCTGATCAGCCATTCCTCTTTGTCAAAAGAAAGAGGAGACAGGGCAGTCTCCTTCTGGAAAAGATAGCTGTCTTTGAAACCCTGTGGGAACAGTTTTACTTGGTCTTGCAAAGCCTGTGTGAAAACTGTTGTGACAGTGGGTATGGATTGGCTTACAGCATTCAGTAGCAAGTCAGTGGAAAAGATGACCATGAGAGGAAATGACACAGTGGTTGCAGTAATTGGCTCAAACATGGCAACAATTGTGAAGAGCTGGCATTGTTTCATCTGTTGCTGTGAGTTGGAACCTACTCAGTGATATCTGTCATGTTCTGAATGGAGTCTCTAAGGACAAAGGCGCAAAAAATGCTTTTGGTAGATGACCCTTTTATCAAGTTTGGCATTTCTAAGTGGGATCTCTTATTCTGAGGTTGGCAACAGAATTCCCCCATAAACTGGAGATTAACAACAGTCATGTCAGTTTATACTTTCCAAGCACTTCTGTGTCCTATTCACATAGAGCTGCCTTTACAATATAGATTCTTAACATCACTATGAAGTCGAGGCATCTGGCTGGTGCACTGATTAAGCATTCTCCTGTTAACCAAAAGGTACTAATTTAAAGCTTGATGGTTCAAACTCATCCTGTGGTCCATTAGAGAAAAGTCTTGGCAGACTGCTTTCTTGAGAAATGAAGATTACAGAATAGGAAACTAGGCAGTTCTGTCCTGTAGGGTCACTGTGAGTTGGAACGAACTCAGAGGCACACAGCAACTTGAAGTAGAGGTTAGGGTCTCCATTGTACAGAAATTGAATTTTAGGTTTGGAGAAGTTGCATAGTAAGTGACGGAGTCCAGATACACACTTATGCATGTAGTCAAATTTCAGAACGCTGTAACCTGAGGCTTACTGATTCCTTGGTGTCACTCTTCCCTCCTTGTAGACACAGTCAGTCAAACCACCAGTTCCTCTATGCTAGCACAGTCTCCTGAATGGCTTTCTACCCGCCTGTCTCTTCACTGCCAGACCGTTTTTCTTCATTGCATTTCCTTAGGCCAATCAGTGCCATTTCTCACCTGCATTCTAACAAAACCAGTTTCCCATCTCCTGTTTTCCTTCAGTCTGTTCTCTGATATAAAACCAAAGTGATCATAAATTATGACCCTGCCTTAAAGTACTTCAGTAGGTTTTCATTGTTTTGGAGGTAAAATTTTAATTTCTCCAGTTGGCTCAACAGATCCCTCATACTTTTCATCTTGGCCACTGTCATTTTTCACAGTTTGTATGTGAGGCATACCAGACCGTTTTCTGTTCCACCACACATGCTTTTGTTCTAAGGTTTTCTTTTCTGCTTTTTCCTTTCTCTGGAACATTCTCCCCCTTTAGTCTGTTCATCCTTCAGATTCCAGCTTCATTGTTATTTCCAAGAAACATTCACTTAAGTTAAACGCACCTGGTATATACCTCCGTAGTATTCCACGGTTGCTTACAGTAGTAGTCTTTATGACGGTTTCTCCCCTATTAGAACTGCCATAAAAGCAGAGACTTGAGTTGAAGTCAGTCACTGTCATTTTCCCAGGGATAGTATAATTCCTGCTTATTATAGTTCTTACTATTTGTTGAATAAGCTAACTAAAATGAATTAACGTTTTATGAAATTAGATAATTGGGAACATTTCTAAAGATTATAATTTCAGTTAGAGTTATGACCCAACACACAAACACCAGGGAACAAAAAAGTAACTGGCAACAAATTCTTTATAACCTAAAATTATTATTATTTTTGTAGGGATATCTCTAAGTTTGCTATGCATTACATAATAGAAGAAATAGATGAAGACACATCAATGGAAGACTTGCAGAAAATGATGGTTGTGGCTCTTATATACAGATTATTAGTTTGTTTCTATGAGGTAAGCTACTGGCTCTGGCAAATATTAATATTTAGCCATTTTAGATTACTTGCTGCTGTCAAGTTGATTCCAACTCTTAGTCATCCTCCATTCCATTTTTAAGGGTATAAAGCAAGAATGGTATCCACCTCCTCAATAAGTAACATGCCTATGACTCTATGAACTTGGATAAATGTTGATAGTTGTAGAGGGGCTTCAGGCATTTTGTTCAAAAGGTCGCTGAGTTGTGCTTGACTTGAAGACAATCAGCAATAACAACAAATCTTTATAGGAGGACGCTACTCATCTTTCTCCCTCAGAGCAACTAGTGGATTTGAATTACCAACTTCTCAGTTAGCACTGTGACACAGTGCACTACAACAGTGGTCTTAAGTACTGCAGAGATTGTGAGGATGTCATAGGATTGGGCCTGATTTTGATTTGTTGTCCTTGGGGTTGCTGTTGGTTGGAGTGGACTCTGTGACACCTAACAAAATTTTAAATTACCAACCCAAAACAAAAATAAATAATATTTTTTAAAAATTAGGGAGTTCTGGTGGCCTAGTGGCAAGAAGCTGAGTTGCAAGGCATGTGGTTCAAGTCCATCAGCTCCTCTGCTGGAGGATGAGCAGTCTCCTCCATGTGATTAACTGCCTCTGAAAACCTACTGGAGGGTCAGCTACAGTTCAGTTCTGAATCTCAGAACACAAGACGACAAAAATAGTAGTAGCAATTTTTAATTACAATTTTCTGAAAAAAGACATTTTCTAATTTTTTTCCAGCATATTTTAGCCTTGAAAAATTAAATTTTGTGTGTAAATAGTTTCTAATTCATAAACCAATAGCAGTTGAACCTGAAATATACTTTACAAATAACTTTCTAAAAAAATATCCTGGATCATCAAGAAATATTTCAGTGCACACCTATGTTTTCACGGCTTTGTTCACAATAGCAAGGAGTTGGAAACAACCTAATTGCCCATCAAGAAATGAATGGATAGAGAAGCTATGATATATTCACACAATGGAATACTACGCTGCATTGAAAAGCAAGGAACTCATGCAATATTATTAAAAATGGGTGACCCTGGAGGACATTATGCTCAGTGAAGTATCTCAGTCACAAAAGGACAAATACTGCATAGTGCCACTATTGTAAAACAGGACTGACATCGGGGTTGGGGGAAGTCTGAGAAAGATGGGATAAATAATGTAAACTACATTGAAGAACAAATTCAAACCTTGAGTTGCTATAATCAAGGATGCTTTTGGCAGAATGTTAAATGATCCCGGAAGTATTAAAAAAAGATGGAAGGAATATAC